TTTAAACCCGTTTCCCCTTGTCTTGTCATTAGTTGCCCTTATGAAAAGTCCCTCTCCAGCTTTCTTGTAGGCCCTTCAGGTATTGGAAGGCCGCTATAAGATCTCCCCGGAGCCTTCTCTTTTCCAGGCTGAAAACCTGAAACACTTTATTGGTTTAGAGGAAGAAATGTAGAAAGTGATAAACATTTCTGTAGATTCTTTGCAAATCTCGCAATGACTATGGTTTCACCAAGGAAAACCTGTAACTGTATCACTATTATAAGTAGTTTTAAAGCCCTTGTTACAACAGATTGAGATGGAGAAGCATTGAATCTCCATAATTCTCATTGAAAAATTGGATACTGTTAATTCAGGGCAGGAAATAAGTTTTTTTTACTTCTACCTGGGAAATTAGTATTATGGACTTGTAGCCCCAATTCAATATTAGCTACATAATGAGGCAAACCATTTTCTTCTTTAAATTGACACTCTATGCACAGGAGTTTACTAAAATGTTAATGAGTCCTTGCTCTTCTCTTGTTTCTGCCTGATTTTTACATTAGATCTATGTTGCTAAACTTAGATATACAAGTATATATTAGCAGAGTTGAAGACAGAAATGTAGGAATAGGTGATATTTTAAGTGGCAGAAGATGAATACTGTTGGACACATTCAAGACTGTCTACATTCTGTAGCTATCTTTACTTTAATGTTTACAACCCAATTCAATACAAACTATTATGAAGATTCTACTATTTAAAGATCTTTCTTTATAAAATTAACCACACTGATGACATCCTGTAGAACTTTGTGCACTTTCCTGCCATAGCATGCTTATGAATGATGTAGTTAATTAATTTCATGTGTGGTACTATCTCTGTAACCTTACCCCGTAATCCATTTTTTATTCTGGTCAAAGCCACTCCATCAGTGGTTACACTTGAACATTTTTTTCCATAAAGCATCATTTTTATTAAAGAAGTCATTTACTATTGATAATATTTTTTCTCCAATACATATTTCTTTTAGTGACTCAGAAAAAGGTACTTCTTAATCTCTTTGTTTCATTATTGAAACAGACTCTGACATATGTTAAACATCTGTACTTTCATCCAACTGTACAGCAAATCTCTCATACTGCATAATTCATTCTAATACTTGCTTCTACAAATCTTCACCAATGTTTTCCATGCACCTTCCAATAGTATTTTCTGACAAAGAAATGCATTTTAGTTTGTCATCATATTTTTTTTCATGTATTGTTTTCAGCCATTTTTACCACAGCAGGAAGAATAAGTGTTTCCCTAGAGGTATGTGGCTTTTTCTCTTTCACTATTAAATAAAAAGAGGCTTCTGAGTCCTCCAAGCATGGATCATTACATTTTGTAGAGCACTGGATTGAATATCTCATGACTTGAAACCACTGAAAAAAACTGTAGAGGTTTGTCTTCATGATCTGGATGCTTAGTTTTTACATGTCTTGCTAAATGCGATGGTTTCATACTATCATTAACTAATACCTCAAGGCACAACAGTCATTTCAGGCAAGGTTCATCATTAATGATAGTAGATGTAAAATCATATTTCAAATACTCTTCCTAATAATTTCAAAATTTTTTGGCCAATTTGTCAAAGCTGATTAGACCATCATTATTTTTACCTTGTAATGTGGACAATGAAGAGCTCATAATAGGGTAGAAGTGTCAGCTCTGACATCTTCTTGTTGATCACTTGTGCTCACATTATTAGTATTATCGTCAATCTGCAGTTTCTTTGAAGGAATCTTTTTAAACCACTTGCCCATTTTGTGAGGGTTAGTTAAAACTAGGTAACGATCTGTAAATCTACTTAACTGGGCACACAAACTGCAATAGATAATAATACACTGAAAGCAAGTGAACAAATGAGCGTGCCACTGTGAATCCCTTCACGTTGCAGAACACCAACTCTTTCCTCAGAACACTTCACATACATATGTGATGCAGGACCCTCTGACAATACAGACTGAGTGAGGGTATCAGTGTCAACCTGTATATTAAATATTAGTTAAGCTTAATTTCTTTTTCACTTTTTTTAGATAAAAAATAAATACTATTTCCTTCATGTACTCCAATGGATCGTCTTGTGCACCCCCTGGGCTGCACACCCCCTACTTTGGAGACAGCTGCTCTACCAGGTTTTGGTCCATGCAAACTGTCATTCTCACCAACAATGCCACTGTGCAGGGCAAGCGACAGCAGAGACAAAGAACTGTTCCAAATAGGCAGTTTGGTTGCAGCCATGACATTTTGGTGGGGAAAAGAGTTTAGGTAGGTATGAGAGCCAGGCTATGACTTTTAGCCTAATGGCCATAGACCTTTTCTATTTTGTAATACAGATATAGCACCAGTGATTTTAACAGGGCCAGGGTCGGACTTGTAAAGAGGGCAACTTGTCTATGTCACTGCTTAAGACCAGAGCAACCATATTAGTAGCTATTTCTTGCTTGGACTCATGAAAAAAGAGGAGAATACCTTAAGTTCCATTAGTTCCTGTGTATTGGACGGAGTAGTAAGGGCTTTTTCTGCTATTCTCTCAAACCCATCACATAGTCTGAAAAATATGTAAAATAACTAGTTTGGCATGTGTGTTCTGTTTTAATCATCCTTGGACAAATTATATACATTTATAACAGCAAAAATGAGATCAACATATCCTTTAAGGATGAAAAAAATTCAACAGTGGAAAAAAACATAAGTAAATTTCAAAACACATTTTCAGTTTGAGAGTTACCTCACACTCATGTCTTGATGATCTTTGAACATTCTGGAAATAATTTTTTCACAAATATTATCTGCTCGCTTCACCAAAGCATTTATCAATTCATCACAATGCAATTCAAACATTCCTAGACGGAAACACTGCAATACAAATATAATAGTTGTCAGAATATTGCATAGTTTTTACCTGTTTTCTCTCAGTCTTAAGCAGAATGTCAGGGATCTCACATAGGAATTTAGTTAAACCATAAAACGCTTTTAAAACTTTTGAGTGAAGAACAGAAAAAAAAGCTACAGTTGAGAATAACTGTTCTGTATCTGCACATCGAACTTCTTATAAATCTTACTTCTATCGTTTTTTACCTTGACAAATAAAGTACTTCCTCAAAAAAGAAGGGCATCTAATGTCTATAGTAGTGAATGTTGTCTGGTGAAATTACAGAGCTTGAGATACATCTGAAATATGGTAGTCTTTCTTTACTGTTAGAGACACATGACATTCCTTAGGATTAAGAAGGGACTCTGCCTCCCAGTGAGTCTCCAAATCCAATGGTTTCTTTGACTAGTAGGCAAGTGAGCTTGACTTCCACACACAGAAGCCCTCATGACAGGCCTGTAAGTACTAGTTTCTCCAGAACTGAGGTTTGCACTGTATGCTAGGAGAGAAACAATTTAAGGAAAACCACTTTAGCCTTATGAGTCTTTTTCAAAATGGACAAAGGATTCTCACCACAGAATATCCTTACAGGGACCAAAAAAAAGCAGTTCATGTTAAGGATCCTCTCTCTGCCTTATATGAATGGAAGGAATTTGGAGGTGGCTGGACCAACACTTTCTCTTGCTCCTTCACATCTAAGAGGAGCATGCTCTGAATGCTTTCAGAAGTCCCAGAACAATTTATAGCAAAAGTAACTGTCTCACTTGAGTACAGCAAATACACCCCAGAAGTGTTGACTCTTGAAAAACTCTTTTTCTGAAAAAAATAATTGTATTTCACTTTAATTATCTCATAGCTAATTATTAGCACCTTTGACTGACAACATTAAAATTATATCCATATCTCTTCACAAATATTATTATAATTTACCTTCTTAGAAGTATATTTTATTTCCTTAGAAAGTTTCTGGTACTTTATGATTTCCCTTTTCATTTCTTCAAAGGTAAGTTCCTCTGTCAGGAATTGATCAACATCATGTTCAGCTTGTTTGTTTATCAGGAAGCTGTACTTATCATACAGCTTGAGATGTTCCACAGGTGCAGCACTTTCTTTCGTAATTTCTTCTCTGATCCTTCTCTTATGTCCATCCAAGATCTCATCTAGGATAACAGGCTTCAAGACAGCTGATGAGGATTCACCTTTTGGCTTTGGAAAAAAAGCACACAAAAAACCAAACACATTTTCAAATTACAGTTATGTCTGTAGCTCAGCTATGTCAGGGAAGATAAACAGGACAGAAAAATCAACTAAATGTTACTTTAAAATCTTTCTAATTAAAGTCTGATTACAAACCCAATTTTGTAGATACAGTTATTTATATTCAACTCCCAATTTTTTTTTTTAATCCTAGCTTATGAATGTTTGCCTCCAACAAGTAAGAAATCAGATCTGCTTCATTCAGAAACTCTGGAGTCCACATGCTTACTCATCCAAAACAATTTTAAATTTAATCTACATGGATTTTCCTGAACCACAGGCACAACTTCAATTTTGCTATCAACTGATGACTCTGTAACATTAGAAATATGGAAAACACTTTCCTGCAACCCCCTAGAAGATCTAAAGCCTTGCTCTTGTGCATTCAGACATGCTTGAGATGCTTTTTTTAATCTGCCTTTTCACAAGTTATTGATTAGTGCTTTTATAAAGTGTAGCATACAACTCAGGTTTCTGTTTGGTCATTCGTTGAAGCACATTAAGAAAAATGTTGAGGGTTAGTATCTTTTTTAAAAAATTCAAGTTGGAGCTAAACAGAAGGGGCAACAGAATGTCTAAATGATATTCCTTCAGGAAAAAAGAAATCTGGGAAACAATTAAGAGGCACCACAGGGAATTGTTTTCACTCTCTCCATATTAAAACCTAAGACTGCTATACTGAAAGTAACATGCAATTATAAATCAAGTAGGTACCTTTTTAAAAACATTATTTCACAAAATGTTTTTTCCTTAACCTGTTTGACCTAAGGTTTTAACCTGGTTGAATGCATAAAACAACTAAAATATAAACTGCTTAAAAATTAAGGTTTAGATTTTTTTTTTTTAAGGATAGTTACTCAAAAGATTCTATATATAAAAAGACAGTACCCTTTCCAATATCAAAATAGCAGGTATTTTCCAGAATACGGCAGAAATGCGTTTAAAATTTAACTGCATGAATTTTGTTTGTAGTACAGTTTATAGTAGCTGCTGCAGAAAATAACTCATAGAAGAAACTGGTTGATTCTTGGATTTTTATTTGCTTAGACAACAGTGATTGGGCCTATTAGTAAGAAGATTAAGATGTTTTCAAAGTGTTCCAAATATCCTGAAAGATAACAAGACTATTCATTAAAATACCTAGGAACTAAAGGTAGCAACAATATAATGATAAAAAACTCATAAGTATTGTAATTTCTTACCCACTTAGAAAATAACTTTGTCTCAACTCTTGGTATATCACTGACAGCTTCAATCATAACAGTATAAACATTCAGTAATACATCCCTGAAGTCATTAAAGTCAGGTTCAAATTTAATACCATCATTCTCAAGAATTAGCCTCAGGATTAAACCTGGGTGTTTGTACGCTTGGATTGTTTCCTAACACACACACAAAAAAAAAAGTAAAATATTAGTTAAACTAACCCATGCAGGAAAAGTCAAAGGATTATTAAGAATTCCTCCAGCATAAGCATTTTAAATTGTCAGGACTTTAATTGCAAATGACATGCCACAATCCTAGCAAAATTACTTGTGCAAGTAGGAAGCATGTCTCTGATAAAATTCACATAAACTGATGTTCACTACAATGAAATACAATGTTATTTTTAGCAGGCACAAGAGGCATCCTCTATACACCAGCCAACAACTTTTGTAGTTTGCAAAGACTGAGGCAGAGTAGCTTTACAGTAGGAGCCCTCACAAGTATAACAATATTGAATTATTATGTGTACAGCAGTACATGTATTCATTGTCTGAAGTAGTCACTATGAATCTACTAACCTTAAAAAAAAAGTGTTACATCCAATTTTATTCACTAAACAAGAATCTGATCCATAAAAACTCAACTGAATATTATGAGGGTTATATTTGCAGTATGGACTCCCATGTATTCCAGTATGAAAACCTGTATATGATTTTGTCGTTGGTGGCATAATTTGATTTTTCATCATATCTTTATTCAGGATCAGAATCTCTCAACTTTCCTGCTTCTGCTAACACAGTCTAAATACACAAACATTTAATTAGGAAACATGAGGAAGCATTTTATCACTACTACGTAGCATAGGATCACCATTAGGAAGAATAAGATTAGAAAATACATACCTATTACTAACAATGAAAGAAAATAGTACTGTATACATCAAAGCTCACTTAACTCAGAAGTATAAAAATAAATTACAGGTGAGTAAGAATGAAAAATATATACTCTGCTTCCACAAAATGATTCCTTACTTCCTTACAGTCTCTGCAGAACTTATCCAAATTCTGTGGATATTTGATGGCAAGGTTGTATTAACAAAGATCCAGTTGCACTCCAAGATATCAAATATCAACAAGAAATATTTACCTCTATGGCAGACATTATGTGAGTGCGTAAGAGAAACTCCTTACTCATTTCGCCTCCCAAACTATTCTGTCAAAGCATGTAGTAGACACCTACTAATAGCAGAGAAAAGATAAGATTTCTTCACAGATGGGTACTGCAGAGAGCACTAGTGCAAGATGCAAACAGCCTTTATACTAATTTCTATTGTGTGTCTGACTGCAGTGTGTTCTTGAGGATCCTACATTTAAAATGTGTTGATATTTCCCTTCTTGCATGACCAAAAAAAAGTTATTTTAACTCCACTTAATAAATAACGCATTCCTAAAATATTATTCCTTTTTCTCCAGAAAGCACCTGCCAACAGAATTCATATTTTTTTACATTTTCTTCAAAAGAAGCAAAATAAACAGGAAACAAATTATAACTACATGGATAAACAATGCTGCTAGTGTGCGTATGAAAGACTACTTACTGCAGGTTGAACTATTAAATCTGTAAAGTCTTGAAGTGAATGTAAAAGTAAATGTTGCAGTTGATGAGTCATTAACGTGGCAGCACAACCGAAGAAAGACTCTAGTTTAGTGATGCTGGCATTGCTAGGTACTTGTTTTCGTTTACTACCTTGGTAAAAGATTTTCTGCACTTCTGGAAACCACCTTAAAATAATACAATATTTTTAAGTTTTTCAAGTGATTAGCATCAATAAAGTTGTGGTTCTAAGTTAACTGCTATAAATGCTTATATTACATGCAGTCAAAAGATGCTGAAGTTACTTGGGAAACTATAGTTTAACTTAAGTAGGTCACAGAATCATAGAATCACCTGGTTGGAGAAGACCTCTGAGATGACCGAGTCCAATCATACCTGTCCACTACTAAACCATACCTTCAAGCATTCCATCTAGCTGCCCTTTAAACACCTCCAGGGATGGTGACTCAACCACCTCTCTAGGCAGCCTGCTCCAATGCCTGAGAACCCTTTCAGGGCAGAAGTACTTCCTGACATCCAATCTGTACCTCCCTTGGCACAACTTAAGGCCATTTCCTCTTGTTCTATCACTTGTTACCTGGGAGAAAAGACACAACCCCCACCCCTCCTCGTTACAACCTCCTTTCAGGTAGTTGTAGACAGCAATTAGGTCACCCCTCAGCCTCCTCTTCTCCAGGCTAAACAACCCCAGTTCCCTAAGCAGCTCCTCATAAGGCTTGCTCTCCAGACCCTTCACGAGCTTCATTGCCCTTCTCTGAACACACTCCAGTTCCTCAATGTCCTTCTTGTAATGAGGGGCCCAGAACAGGACACAGTATTCAGGTGCAGCCTCACCAACGACTCAGACTGAATATACAAACCTTATGGTATCCAACCACTTCAGTTTTGAAAAGCTTAGTCATACTCTCTGAAGTCAACTGACCTCATTCATACATAATTTTTCACATTATTCTGCTCTCAGAAATCGCTACAAAACTAAGAATAATAAACTGAAATTCCAAAATCATTAATAGGTGCTCTACAGAGACACTGATGTGGTCCCAGGTTAATCTTCCTATCAATGAGACACTTCCTTTGTGTGAAATAGGGATGGGACAAGTTTTATTATGTAATAAGTTATATCACAGTATATATTCTAAAATGTCATAAATTATTGATAGTAGCAACATTGTATTTTCTCATTTATGCAGCACAAACAAGTCCACAAAATAAAACCTTTTGTCATAACAGACCAAAACACATCTATTGTTAATATCTGTCTAAGTGAGCAAAATAGGTCATACCAAACTTCAGGATAAGAAAACTGCACAAATCATGATAACATGCTCAACATTTACGCAGCAGTTTTCGTTCATAAGCCTCAAAGCATTTCACAACACTGCACCTCTTTCTTTAATATGTAATATTAAAATGGGTTATTCCTTCTCTCTCCAGAAAGTTCAGAGTTTCAAAAACAGCTAAAGAAATAGTTAAACATTTCCCTGTAATTTAAAAAATACGGATACACTAGATCTTACTTGTTAGATAGAATCACTTTGGATTTTCCAATTTCATTCATGACTGTATTCTGGAAAGATGACAGTTCCTCAGCTTCTTGTTTATTGTGAAATATTTCTGTATCAAGAAGGCGAAAATTTCTGAAACAGAATAGAACATTAATATTTTAGGAACACATTCACTGTATCTTGTTTTCTAATTCTTTACATAAAACTTTTTTCATATTTCACATTTCAAACATAAAGGGTTTTTAAGCATATTTTTTAAACTTTAAAATAATGTTACTTTCAGAAATTAGCATCTGTTGTTTCATAACAACAAAATATAAGCACTACAGTACTGTATGTATGCATGGTCTTAAAGTGAAGTAGTAATCACTATATTTGAGTATATTAATAACTATTTTCAGAATCAGAGTTTGTGTATATGTTACTCATTTTAGATAGGATCAAACATTACAAATCCCAGATGTTTTAAATAGCATTCTTTTCTAGGATTGGATGGATTTTTACAATATTATAAACAATGTAAAAACAAATAAATAACCATCTAAACCTAACTTCAAAATTGTTTACAGTTTTTATATTTTTAAAAGATACTGTCTGAATTTTGTCACCTATTTGGCAGACACAACAAAAATTAAAAAAAAAACCCAAACCACTTCCTGCAACTTGTTACAGCACCTGGCCTGGACAGGTCAATTCATTCTCTCTTGGATCACCAGTCAAGAAATAAGCAAGTAGTTTGGTCTGCTCTGAGAAGAAGAAAGTAACAGCCCATCTAATGCCTTTTACCCTTGTTACTCAGGTAAGAGGAAAAAATGTAAGCGCCCTGCTAGGCGAAACAGCAACCTTCCTCTTCTCAGGACACAGACCATTATGAATATTCCTGACTTGAGAAAGACTGAAAAAAAGTATCAAATTTAAATAAGAGATTAAGGGACTATACTAAAGCAAGAAAGACTATTTAAAAATGGAAGTCATATCCAAACATGTCAGAAGCAGGAAGCTTGTGGGAGCCTTTAAGATCACAAAGAGAAAACTGGAGGAGAAAAAAAAAAAAAAAAAGGCCTTAGAGAAGATAAGATCATAGCTCCATTCTGGAGCCTTTCTGTATGACAAACATGGTGTCTCAAATCGAAGTGTCACAGGAACAGGTTCTAAAAAAAAAAAACAAGCTAAAAACCAAAATCACAAATCACCATGTCCAGATGGCATTTCACCCAAGCTCTAAAGAAAATCAAGCATAAAACGGCTAAACTATTCAACTTTCATGTGTAGCTTCTTGCTTAAAACTGCCTACAAACCAACAGAAATTAAGATGGCGAAGCGTTCCACATGATTTCTGGGGGAGTAGAGATAAGAAAGTTTGACCTCCATAGAGGAAAAGTTGGCAGAAACTCCTCAAAGCATAAAGTTAGAAGGAATACAGACAAATATATTTGGGATAATGGCTTTTGAACAAAGTCATCATATCCACGATTAGCATTCAGAGGTATAGATTGTAGCAGTCCCAAATTCAATAGGACAGCTTAGAAATCTTAAGATGTCAACATCCATTATTTCCCTATATAGATTCTGAAATCATTGAGCAGCTGAAACCTAACAGATATAGATAACACTTACTTAAATGAGGTCTCCCATAAGTTCAGAACAGCAAGCATTGAAGGATTTATTGCATGCAAATTTTCTTTCAGGTATCTGCGTGCTGACAAGAAAGACTTGTTCCAAGGTTTCGGTACTACTGCTATTCTAAAAAACCAAACAAAAAACAACCCCCCAAAACCCCCAATCAGCTACAAAAACAAGAAACAGCAGGATGAATGCAGCTGTGCTAAGAACCAAAATATGTATACATTTGCTTTATGATAATTGTTTGCATCCCAGAAAGCACAGAATTCAGGAGGTAAATCTAGCTCTCTGCTCATTATTCAGATATCAAAAAAGTCTTCAAAAACTGACCACTGTATAAAAAAAAAGAAATGAGAGAAACATTGGACAAATTCTGAGAACTGTAATCTGTTCATGGTTCCTTATATTTAGCATGTAATAAAATAATTATACTTATATAAAGTATTTAGTCAATTAATATGTGATTTTCTACAATAAGTAGTATCTATGTTTATGCTCATCACGTCAAATCTGTAAAAACTCATAAACTTAGAGTATCCTCGTAAACTCTTCATTGGTCTGCTTTCAAGTTTTTAAAAACATTACACTGTTTTGGAGAGGTTTTTTTATATACTCAGTCTTTTTTACTTGAAAAATTGTTGTCATTTTCTACAGGCAATCTGATTATACCATTGAAATATTAAGCACAGCAACTTAAGCAGTATACACTGCAACCTTTAGGGAAAGGAAAAAACAAAAGTAGTTGTCACAAATTTGTCATGTATTTGCAATACTTTTGTTCCCATTTTCATAATGAACTCCTATAAAAAATAATTTCTGACATAAAACAAAACTTTTATCCATTTCTCAGTGAACCTGTATTCCACAGGAGATAGAAAAAGTAGCTACAGGAAGTTAAGTTAAAAAGCTTCAAGTTTTTCCACATCTGTCCTACACATTTCTTTAGACTAAAGTTTCATATTTCAAATATTGCTAATGGAATAAAACTGTTTCACCAATGATTATTTTACTAGGAGAATGCTGTACTTTTGGATTTGCATGTAAGCACCTGACATAAGTTTATATACAAACTACTGTGATATCCTACACAGCTGCCATGAGAGATGGAAATCTACAAAGAATCAGATGTAGGACAGTGTCTTACCCAGGTAATAAAATAACAATAAATTCATCCCATATTTTTTCTCTTTTTAAGACGCAAATTGCTTACATAACATCTGTCACAGTCACCTCTTCTATTATATTCTAATGCCTACTCTTTGATATTTTAAAGAATCTACCTTAAATCACATGGCAGAAATTATTTATTAAAATGTCTTTTCAGTTTTTAAAATTACTCAGTAATGCAGAGTAATACAGAGCCTGGTTGATATCAGTGGAAATGTTCTGTTTCTGCAGCATTTGTAAGATTTAATTCCTCTACAAGGCAAATTTATTTTACCATTTTTTGGCTAGAACTATGAAAGAGGTACCTCTTTCACATCTCAGGAAAAATTAAAGTATGTTCTAGGCAAGGTGATACTAGGTAGGCTGATGCACACTGGACAGATGTATGATCCTGGGAGTAGCACTGCACTTGCTTTCAGTAGACTGCAGACTTTCTAAGGTAAGGATGAATGAGATGGAAATACCTTGTTACTCTAAACAAAGGCCACATCTACCCACTCCAGTATGGAGGTTGTTACATACTGAAAAACCCAGCCAGAAAGCCTAGGCATCTATCACTCTTTCTACTACATGTTGCTGGATTGTTCTGAGGAACAAAACAGTCTGTATTTATTACATTCTTAAACCTCTATGTATTGAGCCAAACTCTCACAATCTGTAAATAAGACAGAGCTTCAGTGAAATCTGTGCGGAACATGACATTGGTCCATTGATTACAATGCAGTTTATACAGAAGCATTTGGTCTGCTATATCCCATTTCAAATGCTGTGGGATTAATTGTGAGACTTCTTAGCAGTTAAGCACTGCTAAACAAAACTAATTCCAAACAACTTTCCAAGGTAGACACATATTTTCCAGGGTTTTTGCAATGCTGCTGTATAATCATTATTTTCATTTACATAACTAATAATCAAGTCTTATTGATAGCTAGCTGACACTGACTACCACTATTAAGACTATTCTTTATACATGCCATTTTACCCCACTGTTCTCTAGTTCGTGTTTTTGAATAAACATATTTTCTTACTCTGCACGATGAGGTAGAAGAATATCTTCCTTCTTGTCTTCATCTTTTTCCCTGGTGTCTCTTAAAACAAAGTCAACTGAAAAAAGTATTAAAAAAAAAAGGAAAGAAAAGCCAAAATAAGCTTAGCGAAGGAATGGATTCATAGAATCATTTAGGTTGGAAAAGACTTTTAAGACACTAATCGTATCCCTAAGCACCACCTCTACACATCTTCTAAATACCTTCAGGAATGGTGACTCAACCACTTCCCTGGGCAGCCTGTTCCAGTGCTTGACAACCCTTTCAGTGAAGAAATTTTTCCTAAATATCCAATCTAAACCTTCCCTGGTGCAACGTGAGGCTGCTTCCTCTTCCTCTTTTCCTATCGCTTGTTACTTGGGAGAAGAGACTGATCCCCCCCTCGCTACAACTGCCTTTCAGGTAGTTGTAGAGAACGATAAGGTCTGCCCTCAGCCTCGTTTTCTCCAGGCTAAACAACCCCAGATCTCTCAGCCCCTCCTCATAAGACATGTGGCCTAGAACCTTCACCAGCTTCATTGCCCTTCTCTGGACACACTCCAGCACCTCAGTGTCTCAACCAAAATGTCCAAATGCACAACTCACTGAGATGAACAGTTTTACCTAGATATACAAAATGGAACTAGGAGAAAGCTATACTATTAAATAGGGATTTATAAAATAAAATAATGGTTCTTAAAAGTGTTGAAAGATCGAAAATACTGAATAATACTTGCTTTGATCATTACAAGGATAAGAAAACCTGAATATACTTTTTATTAAAATTTGCCCTTAACATCCAAGAGAGCACTTCTGTGTAACTCTTCCACAATGGTGGAAGCTGTCAGCAGTGAACAGCGCTCAACAAGGAACACTTCTGAATATTAGCAACTTAGGAGAAAATGCAAGTAAACTCATAGAAATCTACCTATAGCCTTTTTTACACTCAGAAGATAGTCTTCTTTAATTTCATCAGTCAGGGAACGTATACTTTCATTAAGTACTTTCAGATGTTGTGGAATTAAAGCTAAGATGTGGTCTAGCCATGATTCATCCATTGGGGCCACATTTTCTGTATCAATTCCATGGCAAATGTAATAGTAGTATTTCTGCAGGATAAAAGAGCAAGATGCATCAGTTCAGTCCAGTACTAGAAAGTCATTTCTACTACAGGTTTAGCTAGAGATATGGGCTTATTTAGTAAAAATACGTGTCATTAGTACTAAATACTAATAGTACAGTACTAATACACTATTAGTAGTAAATTACCTACACATCACTAAATCTGATGTAAATACTTTCATCAGCCTGTCAAACACTAGTCAGTAGAATAATGATAAAAAGCTGCTGAGATAGAAAAACAGGGTATTGTGCAATAAGCCTCATTCCATTTCTCTAATAAAAGCTTATTAAAAAAAATTAATTGAATAGACATAACTCATAGAAATCTGGTTTTTGTTTGAACTCCAGAACAGTTCTACAGTTCTGGAGAGATGCCTCTCCTTTGCACTGTTCCAGTACCAGTCTTTTCCTTAAATAATTTTTCAATATATATTTATCTATCTCAACTACCCAGTGCTGCCACTATTATCCATTAGCTCTGGGGCTGGACCATATATTCAAAAAGAAAGCCAAGAATTCTGCAGCGTTGTATGTGGATATGCAATATATAGCTAATGCATTGCTCAGAATATGAATGTATAGCCACAAATAAGTGCAGTTGCTTGTATGTCAGCATTTAAACATGCATGTGAAATCTGATTAACAAAACCTCAGAGCATTACAGGAAACACAGATGAAGAAATGTATCAGCCCAAATTCAAAGAAATGCAGAATGGAACATCAACTGGAAGATTACCCATGTCAGGAAGTAACACATTAATCTATTTCAATCAATTTATCCCAAAATGAACTTAATCTGTTTTAAATAAATCACAAAATTGCGTATACAATTGTGTCATTCAAGGTATCTTAAACCAGAATGAGAATGAAGAATACCCTTAGATGAGGGTAACCCTCAAATTAGAGAATTGTCTTACGGATTCTATCTGCTCAAAGCAGTGCACCCTCCCTGGCAAATAATTCTCACCTTCAGCAAGTGCAGAAAAGATTCATTTATTACTTCCCAACATTGGTTATCCTCCAGTTATTATTCTGTTCTGCAATTCTTTGAACCATCCATACATTCCTAATGCTCAACAATAACACTATTAATAATATACTGTGTGAAACTAATAGTGGAAGAATATGTCACTGTCAGTCATCTTTCATTGTGTCAATCACCTTGCCAATATTGACAACAAATGACTGTCACTGTATTTAACTTAATACTCTAGAAAATAGACTTTAGCTACCAAAATATCTTTCTCTATTGGTGTAGAAGAATCTGCTCTTGGAGACTGAGTTCCATCAAGGCATGGAAGCTGTTCTTCAGTAAGGTCTTGCTGTCTGAGACAAAAAAAAACAAAGAGTATGCATCACATTCTTCAGATACACTTTACTGGCATAAGTAATATATAACCATTGTACATGCCAGTTGTGAACAAACAAAACAAAAAAGGTAACTGACAAAACTTTACAATGAGCACAAGACATTCTGATTCAAAAAGAACACTGAAGCATGTGACCAAGTTTGTATTTTATCTGCTACAGTTCTACTTTTAAAATTGGTGATTTAGTTCATGCTAATATATACATTATCACAATTTACAATCATCAAAATTTTAAAATAATTTAATTTTAATATTTGTTTCATCTATCAAAAAAACCCCCACATTATTCAAAAAGAAGAAAACTCACAGTATAATGTTAACAAGAGCACTTCTGAAACTTTCCTGGTTTCTTTTCAGATGACTGCTACTCTGCAATGTACAAGTTGATGGTCCAGCACCTGCTTCATTATATCTAGAATCCTGTAACTTGTGTCTCTTGTATCCCACCTTCAAATATTCTGCTTTCAGAAAATACATTTTGAAATTAAGTTAAAAAAAAGTTCAAATGTATCACACATGTTTACGTTTCTGAAAGGTTTTCTTTAGTAGTACTAAAAATGTTAACCTTACCAGAAGAATACTCATTTTTTACAGTAAACTCATCTGACTTGTCATCTTTCTGTTCTTTGCTCAGATGGAATGAAGGACAAGTCTGCTGCCACAGTGGTTTAGACCTGGCCTGGAATAAATATTTTATATTTTAGTTTTACACTTGTTGTAGATGCTACTAACACATACTTCAAGACTTCTTAAATATAGTAAATCAAAGAAGCTGCCTAATACACAGAAAGAACAAGGCAGCATAAAAATCATTCAATAAACTACTACTTATATGTTGCCCTCAAATTCTAAATATCCAGACAAGCACATTAAATTTGCACATAATATTTGTAAACTCGCTAGTTTTACACCTTATATATTTTCAAACTTGTTCAAGTACTCCACTTGCAATGTTTTCCAAATATTGAAATATAAACAATGCTCCACATACATATAATATACATACATAGTGAAGAGAGAACATATACCTCAGCACATAACTGAATGAGAACCATGGTCTTTACATAACCATGCTGTGACACATATTTGAAAACAAAAGCTTACAAAAAAAGCCAACAAAACTACCTGAGACAACTGTGGTAGGAAGTTCACCGTTCTCTTTATCGACTTCCCTTTGCCACGTGGACTGGGCTTGGGGAAAAAAAAAAAAAGGAAAATCACAACTAGACATTTAAATTATTACTAATATTAGACTTCTGGGAATACTTACACTTTTAATCTAGCTATCATTCTGGTTTTATCTCTTATATAATAATTTTTACACATACAATTCCATATCACTTTCCCTATTCTTCCTAGAGTGTTTCCATATAGAACTCCACTTTCTCATATGCCTTTGAAAAAAAGCACAGCTCTGAAAACTTAATTTTAGGCTGGAAAGTATTTATGTTACATTTTTGCTAAGATATAAGTTAAAGTATTACAAGACACCATAAAATAATACAAATAAACAAATTTTTTTTTTATTCCCTTCCTTCAGTCAATGTTTTTTTAAAACACAAAATAGTCCTTTTTTTTCTAATCCATAAACTTTAAGAGCATTGAGCATCCTCTGCTTTTTCACAGTGCTGATCCCTCAGCATCAGCCATCAAAGCTGTCTGTCCAAAAGCACCCTCTGAGCATGCCCAGCACATTTGAGCAACATACAGCACCTTCCTATAAATAAACAAGACAGCCCAGTTATAAAGATATTTAAAACTGGCTGTAACACAACTGCCTTTGGCTATTATTCTATTTCTCTGTTTCACACCACCACCAATTCCCCTGGCACTGCCCACACTGCCGAATTTGACAGTGATAAAATAGGTATAGACATACATTATCAGTTGTCAGCAATCTCTTCATAAACTAATGTGTGGTCCAATTTGTTAAAAGGAAGCAAACTCATTCCAGTTCTAGGGAGTTCTTCCCCTGAATGTGATGGGGAGAAGCTCCCTGACTACCACTAGCTGCAAGAGGGAGTCATATAACAAAATGTTTTAAGTATCTTGTTTCAAAAGCAACAGCACTACTCTTCTAATGAACAAAATAGCCATGCTTCCTCTTTCTCTCCTCAAACGGGACTAAACACACCTGGCTTGCCCTTGAATATAGATCAAAACACCTGATGAATTAAAGTACTCTGAACACCAAGCAGGCCAATTTTTATATTTTTAATCCAGCTTTTTGGCAGTCACAGAAAAGGTGACTAAAAGACTTTTCCACAACAACCACATATCTCTTTCAGTCCCTCATTTAATGCTCTCCCCAGTCTATCTTCCAGTTAAGCATGGTCCACATGCAAGATTTTTCATACATCAAAATTCTAACACCTGTACCAGTCTCATAGTCTGCAGTGACACAGACGATGAATTTATTTCAGCAGAAATGAGGGAAAAGCAGTATTATAACAAATACAGAAAGATTTACATGACAAGCCTGCTTTTTGTCTGGTAATTGGAGCAGTTGTAACTCTACTGGGACAACACAAAGCCATTTTTTCCTCTGTAGTCTAACATATTCAACTGCAAAAAGATTTGTACCACAGATCACATTACAGCTACTAGTCTTTTCTAATATTAGCACGAATACATCTCCTAATAGTGTATCCTCACTGCATCATAAAGCTACTGCTTACCAAGCCAATAAGCCTATAGGATGCAGCATAGCCTATGGACAGAATTTGGATTGGTTTGGACTCAGCTGTATACAAACACGCTATGATAGAATCACAGTGAAAAATGAGGCTGAACAGGGCCCCTGATTATCTGCTCTCCTTCTCAAAGCATTACTCAAAGCAGTTGAGATCTGAAGTCCTCTAAAGCCACTGCCTCTCTGGGCAACCTTCTCCCCTGCTTAATCAGCTCACTGGGAAGAATGTCATCCTTATGCCTAGCCAGAATTTTCCTTCCTGCAACTTGGGAGTGTTGCCTCTCCCCCTGCTGCTGCTGCACAGCACCAAGAGGAATCTGGCACCATTTTCTCTCTAGTTCAGGCACTGGAAGACAGTAACTACATTCCTCCACCACCTTCTCTTCTCCAGGCTGAGCACTCACAGTTCCCTCAAGACTCTCCTTGTACAAGTGCTCCAGCACCCTAACCATCTCAGTGGTGATCCCATGGACACTGTTTTGTCAACAGCTTTACGGCAGCTGGACCAGAACTGGCTCAGGCAAAGTCAGCTTAGGTGGTTCTGAACATTGCGACAGGCCTTTTTCTCTGCGTCTTGCGTAAAGAGACTGAAACGTAAAGCTCATTGTTACTCTAGTCCAGATTCTATAGCAGACGGTGAATGCTATCCACTGCCCTCTGAAGGGAATAGATGGGGAAAAAGTCTTTTGTACAGGAGAAAATGACTCTCAATTCCTGGAAGACTGTTACATAGTTCTGTCTGTGACAAGGTCCATAGTCTTAATTCTTAGATTCTTGGTTAGGAACAAATAACAGAAACCTGGGTATTTTTACAAATAACAGGGCTACAAAAATTACTAAGACTATACCTATATACAACATTAAAGAGTTTTGTTTAGATTTTCTTTTGTTGAAAAACGTATAATTCAGCATCACAACTTATACCTCTGAGTTGCTGGTACTGATAAACTCAAGTGTTGAAATTAGTCACACTGAAGACAGTGCCAGTATTTTAAAATACTATCCTGCAAACATACTACTGGCAATAAAATGTACTAAGCAAGGTGCCCCAGTGAGGACTATCTCAGATAGTTACAAGCAGACAACTCACACCCTCTAATATGCACCTCAAGAAGAAACACATCCAAACAAAAATCAGTGAGCTTTTAATGCACTGAAGAAAGTTACTGAATTATTGCACTTAAAATTTCTCACACATTTCATTAGAGGAAAACAAAGCTGAATAAGGACACAAAAACAAAAAGACACTAAAAGAATAGGACTGACTTACTAACAGGAGAACAACATGATTTAAGGGGGCAGATTCTTCCTTATAATTATATTAACCAACTACAACCCAATCAGGCCACTAGAGAAATAACACAAATTAGTATTGGTTAATGCCCAGTGATTTAAAACCACAATCATAGCTAAAAGCTTTTATTGGTATTTGTCTTCAGCATTTAAGCTTCCTGAAGTTCTGAAAAGAGACTGAATTACTTAAAATATCTTCATGCTTCATGTTTAAAAAAAAAAAAATGGGAGAGGACTTAAGTCATAACATTTTATACCAAGCTAAAGACTGGAATTAATTTCTGTGGTTTATAATGAGTTGCCTTTAGGAGAGAGTTACTGTCTCTGAAAGCACTACAGGAACAGCAGCCCAAGACAAAAAGTCTTTAAATTTGCACTGCTTAAGTAATTATAGGAAATCTGCTCAGCTGCATGAGGGACTACATTGCTTGTAAAAAATCTGATTGCAGGAGTTCACAGCACAGACATCACAGTTTACATTTTCTGGAGGGCATCAGCTGCATCAGCCTGCAACTAACGAGACAGCGCGCTGAAGCCTTGCTCTACAAACACGGCTGTCCCACCAGGTCTCCGCTTACAGAGCGCAAGCGTTTACCTGTCAGAGATTAAAACAAATGTAATTTCAGAAGCTTAATTGAAGGGTTATTTAGGGTTGAAAAGAAAAACAACGCTTTTCAGATAGGAACAAGCCCCCTCCGGTAGCCGGGGGCACCCGAGCGCCTGCTCTCTGCCCGAACAGCGAGCGCTGCCCGGCGCTGCTCCTCAGCCAGCCCGCG